CACTGAGTTTCATTGAAATGGAATAATTAGTACTTTAGATATCAGTGTGATAGCTTAAAAGTGGTTAATTATGTAAATTAGTAATTAATATGTACAGATTTTAACCCACAGTTGTCTATTGTCCTACAGCATCCATGTACAAAGTTTCATTGAAATGTGATGATTAGTACTTGAGAAATCAGTGTGAAAATTAATTAATTATGCAAATTGGGTAATTAATATACACAATTATTTACCCTAAAACTAATCAGGTCTCTTGATAGTCCTAAAGTATCTATGTACCACGTTTCATTGCAATGTGATAATTAGTACTTGAGATATCTGTGGAAAAGCTGAAAATTAACTAATTATGCAAATTAGGTAATTAATATGCACAAATATTTATCCCAAAACAATCAATCTCTGCATAGTCCTTGAGTATCTATTTACCAAGTTTCATTGAAATGTAATGCTTACTATTTGAAACATCAAAAGCTGAAAATTAATTAATTATGCAAATTAGGTAATTAATATGCACAAATATTTATCCCAAAACAATCAATCTCTGCATAGTCCTTGAGTATCTACATGTATGTACCACGTTTTATTGAAATGTAATGTTTACTACTTGAAACATCAAAAGCTGAAAATTAATTAATTATGCAAATTAGGTAATTAATATGCACTGACATTACCTTAAAAACTATCAGGTCTGTGCAGTGTCATATGATTAGTGATGATTAGTACTTGAGATATCAGTGGAAAAATCGAAAATTGACTAATCATTATGCAAATTAGGTAATTAGTAATTAGGTAATTTTTACCAAAAACTAATCAAAACCAAGCATTAGTTCAGAGCATCCATGTACCAAGTTTCATCAAAATCCAATAAGTGGTTCTTTAGATATCAATGCAACAGCTAAAAATTAGCTTATTATCATGCAAATTAATATGCATGAAATTTTACCAAAACCTAATCAAATCTGCGCATTAGCCCTAAGCATCCATGCACCAAGTTTCATCAAAAACTGATGTATGGTTCTTGAGATATCAGTGGAACAGACGGACACACATACACACACACACACATACATACAGACACACTAAACCCAAAATCAAACTGTTACTCATGGCTGCTGTACACAAATATCAGAACTGTTTTTAGATTAAATTGTTATATACAGACACCACTATTATTTGTTATCGATAAAATCAATGGTCCGACGGACTATTAGTGCTTTTAATCCGGAGGTCCGACTAAGAAATTGACGAGTCCCGGACCTTTTGTAGTAGTTAATACATGCATATTTATGGTTATAGTGACACATTGGCAGTATTTTCATGCAATGTTGATGTTAATCTATTAGGAGATACATTGCAGTAACCACAAAATAACCTTATAATTATACATTTTCCAAATCTAACTGCTCTGTATGTGAAGCCCAGAACTGAACAAGCTGGTAAAAATTAGTGCAACTTTCTCTGTTATGAACTTCAATTTCAAACATGTGCGCCATCGTGGAAATACCACATATCATTCCATATTTGGGGGATACAGAGTATGATGTATAATTATAATTATTGACAAGACTGACAATCATACTACTGGTAATTTGATTTACTTTCACACACACATGTCCACAGTGACAGACATCTTGATAATACTAACCTGGTAAATCCATCTCTAGTTCTTGAACTTCTTTTGTCAATAATTTATCTCGTATTGAAACCCTCCTTCCATCATCTACAGCAGGATATTTAGGTTGTTTCTTCTCTGCATCTTGTTTTAATTTTTTGGATAATGTGATCATTCTGGAATAAACAAAATCAGAGGTCTGAAGAATGCAAGGTTGATGTTTTTCGTCAAGACAACAATTTCAGTCTTAGTACATTTTACCTGTGAGATAAGGTTTAAATGGTTGTTCTAGGTTTTTTTGATAAAGTTAGTAATCTTACCTAAAAAAGTAAATAAAAGATACCGATAATCCATTATTCAGTTAATTTTTTTATTTGGTGACTGCTTATTTCCGATGGTCAGGGGAATAAAAATATCAAGTTTTTACTAACCCCTAGCTAAATGGGGTAGTTGCAAATTTCTGAATTTTGACACCAGGTAAATACAGCTTTACCAGATTTCATGAAGGCATGAAATATTTATAAATTCTATGGCAATTAAAAACTTGACCAATCACAAGCCTTGGAGGATAATACCGCCTATATCAAACTCTACTACCATTAACCTTTAATTAGTCTCTTCTTTGAAACTTGCTCTCATTCTCAATTTACAGCGGTTCTGACAATCAATCTGACAGTTAGTTTACATTGTTTTAGACTTAACGGTGCCACTTGACAAATTCACTATTTCATGGGGAGATCAACTTCATGGTGAGTATTCAATAACTATTTTTCATTTCTTGTTTATTAAACTTGTATGTAATTCAAGAAATATTAAAACATTCCATAATAACATGATTGCACTTTAATCTCATCTAGTATGATAATGAAATGATTTCATTGTGGAAATTAAACTGATCATGACATTCGCTATCTCTCTATCAATGTCACTTTGAAAGTTGCAATATCCATAGCAAAGTTGCTAGCATTTCTTGTTTTGACTTTACCTTCAACAGTTGAAAAGTAAACAATTATTTGCATATCAAAAGTTCCACTATGTTTGATTAAAAGTAGAGCGTAAATTCTTTTGCTAAAAATGTGACTTTATTTTGCATTCAAATTTGTACATCCTATTTGTTGAAATTGATTTTGTCCACTCATGTTTTTGAAGCCAAGAAGTTTTCAACTTAGTTTTCAACTTAGTTTTTAATATGTTGTGGAAAGTTGTAATCAGCATAACATGGGTCTATTGACTTGTTTATAACTGACTGTCGTCCTTGTTTATAACTGAATTTAAAAGTCTAATTCACACAGGGCTGTGCGACTTTCCTTGACAAGAGATACAAATTTGGCATAACTCAGTTGATCTGTGTAAATATTGCGAGATTTTCCAATAAATCTGAAAAATTTACATGAGCAATATAGATTTTGTTGAACTCAATAATGACAGATTACCACAGAAACTTATATTGTTGATATACAGGTGATTTGAATATTGACCAGACTATTCAAACAATGTTTCATAATAATTAGCCAACATGACGGTCAGTGATTGAAGACACTTTGCAAAGACTTGAAGGATTCACAGTCAATTCGTCCCAATTAACATTCGTCCCACAAGTTGATTCATTCTCACATTCATCTCATTTCACATTCGGCCCATTTTTTTGGTCAGCATTACGATCTTGGTCAGGGTGATGTAGATTTTTATGTTTGTGTGCAAGGAGTTGAAATCGACATTTGGTGTGTGCTATGTCTAGACAGTTTGTGTTGTGGGTTGGACCAATTGTATATAGTTACTGACATGCTTGCTATATAACTCTAATAACACTTTCTGATAAGCTCAGTGGAATACATGTGAACCGTTGAAAAAAACGTCATAAAAACAATTACAAAATAATAAAAATATATCGCGTTATTTTTATTTATTTTTTACAGAACATTAATCAATTACAGTATAATCTTGAAATATGAATATATCCTTGGTTTGAGGATCAACGGGATAACGTACTGCAAAATGTGGTACAATAAGCAACTGGGATTTTGTGCCTACTGGGCAAGTTAGTAGTGGGCTAATATTAAACCTGACGAATCGACTTGAGAAACAAATCAACTTTTTGGCAAATAAACTTGTGGGATAAATTCGACTTGGAACGCAAGTGATTTGGGACGAATCAACCCCCCCCCCCCCCCTACTGAAGGTATGGTTTATAACAGCCAATCAGAGGATGTTCTTTGTATTGAATGAAGCGCAATGATCTTTCGGGATAAAGACATTAGGAACATTTATCATAGTCCATGAAACAAATTTACGCCGTCATGAAAGCCGGTGAATAGTTTCAGATTCTTGTAAAATTATAAGTTTGGAAATAAAAGTAGTCTGCGCCTGAACTGCGAGTATAGACCTGTCATGGATCTGGAACTGCTCAATACTACAATTCGATATCTAGCCCAGTTAATTTAGCTTACCGAAATTACATTCATAAATCTTCAGCAACTACTCTACTTGGAAAAGTGTGAAGAACGTGACGGGTTTGCAACTACATTCTACAGACAGCATAAACAGTGAATAACAGAGTGGTCATTACACTGTCGACTAAAACAAATCAGACGTACGTCCTTAAAATCTTACCTGTAAAAAATAAGTGTCGCGCTCGACGAGGAAAATATGTACCATATAATATGTGTAGATACAATCACATCATCGTTTATGAAATTTGATACAGCCTAACAAAATATCGAATAACGACCGGAAGGCAAGCGAATTCTCGAGAGCGGAAGTAATCATTAGTGAAGGTTGAGGTATCTCCTCGTTCACAACTTAAATATTTTTACTAGAAAATTATTGTCAAATTGCTGAACAATTTTCAATTATTTAATTAGTACATTAATTTATTATTTATAAAGTTATATTTATATCTATTACCCAACTTGAACTTCGAATAATAAAATTATGTACGTTTGGCTTTCATATACTTGCGAATAAGGTTGAATGTTTTCCAAATGAGTTTTAATACAAGCATTGTAATTGGTCGAAATAACAAAGTAATAAGACAAAGCGTCATTGGCCAGAAGTTCGTGAGGGATAATGTAAGAATCTGGCACCAGTTCACGTCGCGTCTGCTGTCGATGTCCATAAAAATTGTCAAACTATTCCTTCGTTCATTTTCTGTTTTATTTCTTCGTAACAAAATTACGAAAACAAGTCTAAAAGTCACGCACCACCAGGCATGCGCAGATGAATCATCACAAATGGCGGCGCCCTCTGATTTTGAGTGGCCATGGCAATACAATTTTCCTCCATTCTTTACGTAAGTTAAACTCTTATTCTTGGGTTCGATATGAACAAGACATTTCAAACTTTGACAGTTTCTTCATAAGCACGCCCGACGAAGAAGTTTCAGAGTCTGACTGTACTCGAAGAACTATTATCGTCACTTGTAAACATTGCACTGAAACCCATTAATTCCGTGTACACGCGACATCAAACATTACGAGTTTATGTGTAGCATGGAATTGCAGTTCCATGATGTGTAGTAATATATATATATACATATGTAATGTTTGTCAGGGCTCTTCTTGTACTTCTGTGCGCCGTGGTACTCGGAGACTTAGCATTCCAACCACAGTAACAAATATTATTTCAGTTATTTGCAATGTTGACAAATCACTCACTGCTTTTGGTTCAGCGGAGGGATAAAGCTAGACTCGTTTCAAATGTTTTACAGCAAGTCTCAGAAGTATTGGGGCAGCCAATTTGCAAACTCGCAAGCGAATTGGCTAACTGCTTGGGTTTGACTAAACAGTTGGCTTTCGAATCTCGCTGGCGCCGACTCGAGGTCGCGTCCACTCTGGGCGAGCCTTTGCTGCAGTTTAGCAGCTCTTATTGGCCGCTTAAGCTATTTTGATATTACGTTGCGGCCATAGAGCTGCAGATCGCATCCATTGAGAACCGCACAGTTCGCCATCCCGGGGCGCACGCTAATTTTGATGTTATCGAACGATTTCAATGAAATTTAAAACGAATAAAAGTTATCCTTGCAAACACAAACATCTTAGGTATCTACTGACCGAAAATGAAGGACTATTTCTGGCAGAGCTCCAGAAGGAGTACCTACACTTTATGCAAATTTTTTTAAAATTATGCTAATTTATTCATGACGTAGCAGTTTCTGTGCTCATGAATATTCATTAATTTGTGGGTCATTACATTTTAAAAGGGGCGATATATTATTTTTGGGGGAAGAGTTAGAAAGGGGGATTAGCAATCCTTAGGGGGTCAATACAAAAGAAGGGACCCATTTGGAGAGCAGCCATGCTCCTCGTGTCTGTTGTTGCACGTGACCTACAGCTGTCAACTGTGTTCGTTCTTCGACTGTGTTCGTTCTTCGACGACTTCGGCTGGCTTCCACGTGGGGTAGTATTCTTGTGTTCTGTTTTCCTGACTTGAGTTTTTGAATCCGCTGTTTATGATTTTAACGTCTTTCATGTCTTTTGTAGGAGTGTCCAATCCGTGATTCGAACTTGCGATCTTTGAGTTCCCAGCGCACTGTCTTGTCCACTGTACCACGAGTGTCTTCACACAGGAGTTAGGATTTAAGTCCTATTCATAGGACACTGTCTTCACTAGCATTCAAAATCTAACTAAACATA